TATATATATATATTGTGGAAACACAAATTAAAGATTAAACCAAGAATCCCAGATATTGAGGGTAAAGGCCTCTAAAGCAAAACACAAAACTTAAGCTAAGTTAAGAATTTCGAATATTTTTTACTATTGAAAGATAATTTAGCAATGTATTTAAGGATTTTTTTTGACATATCAAGAACTTGTAACCCACTCGGACACAATTCTTAAACTGTTAATGTGTAATTCGAAAAGCTTTAAATGCTACTTGGAATTTAGACTTTTTGTTACAAGTAAGCATTTTTCACCATTGATACCAGTTATTAAAAGCAACTTTTCATACTATTTTAAAATATTATTCAAAAACAATAATTTTTTCATAGTAATTTGGAAAATACTTGAATAAAAGTTGTTAAATAGGTTTAAAGTAGAGCTATATGAAATTTAACAAAGTCATGCTGTTGAGTTATCATTTCTCAAGGACTATTCTATTGATTCCATCATTTATCAAGTGTATTATTTTTGAAATTTTTTTCTCATGCAGATTCTTTAATTTAAAATTGCCCTTTCCAAATGAATTTTTTAAAAAAATTTTATTGCATGCAAACCTTATGAAAATGAAAGCACTTAACATGAATTTTTCGCTAGAGACGAGGGAAAATAGTTTCCCATCCCATTTTCTTGGAAAAGAACAATAATTGCATAGTTTAATAGAAACACAAAAACCGATTCTCCTGTCTCAAGTGAAGTTAATATAGCACTTTCTTGTGAAGAAAATCCTTATAGTATTCTTTTTGCAAATTACTTACTCATTGAAATAAAGTGCACAACATTTGTGAGCGAAGACACAGTCACTTGCCCCCAAACGCAGTCACTTGTTGATGAATGAAGGATCACAAGCTCAAGTATTTTACTTGTTGATGACAATTAGGGTATTTTTTTTTTATGTATACATCAGTGTTTTAGGCCCTAAATCCTTTAAACTCTGTGTTAACAAAATTTGACACTATGTAAAAATTATTTATCTTGTTTTATTACAATTATTGTTTTATTTAATCTTAATCTAGTATAAGTTAAATAAAGGCATAGTTAGCTTAACTGTTCTTGTATAAACAATATAATTGTTTCTCTATTAGTTGAAACAATTTTAAAACCTCTTAAATGCCTTGTAACCAAGTTTCAAATTTATTTTTATTTTGAAGTTTTTTTTTTTTAATAACTAGCATTTATGTTATTTTGCCATTTATTTATGTGGTTTTAAAATTACAGGTGAAAATATTAATATTTGCTGGTCACCTAATGGACAAACTATAGCTGTTGGAAACAAAGAAGATTTAGTAACATTCATTGATGTGAAATCCCACAAAATACTTCAAGACCAACAGTTTAAATTTGAAGTAAATGAACTTTCTTGGAATAACGATAATAATTTTTTCTTCCTCACCAATGGACAAGGTTGCATCTATATTCTTTCGTAAGAACATTTTTATACATAAATTCTAGTGGTTAACGAACAATATTTAGTTTTTAAATTTAAATAAGATTAGAGAAATTTTTAAAAATAATGTTATGGCCAATTCCATGGTTACTCTTGTTATATGTACTATGGTGTTGCACATCGATTTGATTTTACTTATGAGCTTTTTATTTTGACTAGAACAATTTGTTTGCTGAATAACAAGAAAGAATTTGATGGATTTTAATAACTTTATAGAATGGTGAATTCAAAGTATCGATTCTCTTGTTATCTGAGAAGGACATGAGACATTTACAAATTTGTATTACAATTATATTAACTTAACTGTGAAATATTCACTTTTATATAATTTTAAGAAAGGAAGGTCAACTTATTTAGTAACAGCAATAAAAAAAAGTTTTTAATACAAACCCATTACTTATTACATGAAAAATTCTTGATTAATCTTGTTACATTCCCTTTAGGAGATTTAATAAGAAATTTAGGAAACACATTCTTAGTGTAAATAAGTTGATATTGGTGTGTTTATGTAATTTTTTTAAAGAAAGGATGATTTTTAGAATTAACGACAGATAAAAAAAAAACTAACTTTTTTCACTATTTTATCTTTTTTTAGAAAATATTTCATCTTGATTTTCAGGCCATTTCCAGTTAGCTTACGGGAATTTTTGCAGTTATCAAAACAAAGTATCTTCTTTTCCATGTAAACCTTAGTATATTTACCAAATTTGATACTAATTTGACTGTTATATCACACTACAAATGACTTTAAGTAGTCTCAGTTTAAATATAAAAACCTTTTATTTTTTACCAGTATTTGTTTCTATAGGTATTAAAAAACTAAATTTAACAAAATTTAGCATTAGGACAAGTTTTAGACATGTCAAAAAATTATTAAGTTTTCACTTTTTGTACATTGTATTGTGCTAGTAAGAGTCTTTTTTTTTCTTTTTTTTGAAGAAAATATGCTTTTTAATAATTGTATCTAATCTTTTCTAGGTATCCTGATCTACAGATTAGACAAGTATTAAATGCTCATCCAGCTAACTGTATTTGTATTGAATTTGATAAGAGTGGAAAATATTTTGCTACTGGTAGTGTGGATGCCCTTGTTAGTTTATGGGATGTCGAGACTTTGGTTTGCATTCGTACTTTTTCTAGGTAAAAACTTATTCTCTTTTTTTTTCTGTTGCAATATGCCATGAATCAGTTTTCTGTAGATTAAATTATTTGTAAGTTATTTTGTTACAGAGTTTATTTATTTTGTTTTTATCTCATTCAATTCTGCATTAAAATGTGCATAGTAAATAATACCTCACTCGTTTTAAAGGTCATAAGTTTCTCTCCTGCTGTTAATTTTAAGAAGCTAATACTTACAATTAGGGCAGATCAAAGCTTTCTTATTCAGGGTGGCCACTGACCTTGAAAACCTGGAATTATCAGGGAATTTTTTTATACTATAAACGTCACAGAAATGTAGATAAAAACCTGGAAAAATCAGGGAATTTTAAAGAAAAGCTGAATTTTTTTTTCTTCTTTTAAATTATTTTACCATTTATTGTACCAATTTTTTTTATGGTAATTTATCGCCTAACAGTTGAAATATCAAAAACTTAGCAATACTGTACTTGCATTAACTTTTGCTGCATTATAACCCAGTTAAACTAGAAAGCCACATGAAACTATCCCATGGTTGCTAAATGAATGGAGAAACTTTAACTTTTGCTGCATTATAACCCAGTTAAACTAGAAAGCCACATGAAACTATCCCATGGTTGCTAAATGAATGGAGAAACTTTTGACCTCTTTGGAGATTTAGAAAAGGCAAAGATTGTAGGTGGAGGTTAAAGAAGGAGTTATGATATTTTTTTCTGTTTATAAAATTAGTTTCTTTTCTAGTCTATTTGGCTGAATCAATTTATCATTCAAATTCGTTCTGATGCTTTGGTTTTGGTGGTATTGTTTTTTTTTTTTTTTTTTTAAAATNTTTTTTTTTTTACAAAATGTTTTAATATTTTTAACTTTATAGAATTCTTTAAAATATAGTTGGGTTATAATTTAATAACAGAATTTATATTGCACTCTTTTACTGAAAGCTTTTGTACTCCCAATCCAACGAAATCGGTGAATTATGTTTTCTCAGCAAAGCCAACTGTTTACTCATTTTCTTGCAATCACTAACAGTCGAGCGTTGTCGACAAAGCTTTGCAATTGTTGCATTGTTATTAGTTTTCTCAATTTCATTTAACCTTTTAGAACATATTTTATTTCCATATTGTTATATCTGAATTAATTTTTATTAAATGGAATATGAATAAAAAGGCAATGTTTTTTAAGGTATAGTGGCTTATTTTTACAAAAATAGCATGCTGTCCTTCTAAAAACGCTTCAGGAGAACACTGAAATAATAATTAAACTGTGACAAAGCGAGTTATTTTGTACAAATGTGTAGAAACATTTCACATTTTGATTTTCAAAAAAATTATTCTGAAGATGCACTTTAGATATTTTACGTCCGACACTAAAATACATAATTGATTTTATTGTGCCACTGAGATTTAACATAACTAAATTTTAATTTTCTGCTGAAAGAACGATTCTAAGTCTATTTTGATTTTGAAAAAAGTTAATATTTTTTTGTAAATTAATAATTAATTATTTTTATATCCGACACTATTTGTGTGAGACACCACAGCTTTTCTTTTTATTATGTTTGTTTTTATCTATTTCCATCTCTTATTTTGCTTTTCCATTATAAAATGATGTGAAATATGATTAGAAACCATCTAAATATTCTAAAGTTGATTTACAATAATGTATTTCACCTCAGTAACCTAAAAAATCTACTCAACTTTGCTATACTTAAAGTTATTTATATAAAAACTTAAAATTGATCAGTGAAGTTTTTATATATTTATATTTTTATTTTATTTTAGTAAGTTAATCCTTTGAACAACTAGTAATTTGTTTTTAATTATTTTCTTTGCATATTAAATTCAAGTTTGTGTATGTTGCTAAATATTGTAATTGTTATTTTTTGTTTTCTTTGATAAAATTTTGATAATCCATTGCTTTAAAATTCTAATTAATTCAGACTTTTTATTAATTTATTTTTAGAAATGTTTTATGCTCACAGTTTAATTTAATTTGATTAGATCAAGCAGATAATTTAAATATTTCGTTTTTTCATAGCTCTAAAAGTAATTACTTAGAATGCATTTTAATAAATCTAAAAAAGAGTGCATGGAAATGTTGATATTTCTTTCATAATTCCATTCATTATTTAGATATCAGAAATATGAATTTCATAATACTGAGGTGCACTAGTTTTATTCTCTTCTTTTTGTAATATTTTTCAATCTAAAATTACATTCTTTGAAACATTACATTCTTTCTTTAATGTAAAAATTTGTTTGCCTTACTCTTCAAATATGTTTTTGAATGAAATTATCTTCGAACAAAGAATTTTCAGTAATCAGATAATTTTCAAAAATCAATTAGTTAATTAGCATAAATATTTGGCCCTGAATCCATTAGGATTGAGTCCTATTACCTGAAGCTCTAATGATTAGATTGAAAATTATTCTGGTTAATTTTTTTTGGTACATTTAAATAAGTATTTTAATGTGAAAAATGTTTTGTTATGTACTAACACTGCTGCATAGAGTATTGCTGGTCTATTTTATTATCTTATTTACTTGAACAATTATCATTATCAAATACATTATTGTAGGTACATGATTTAAGCAAAATATTATTTTTTATAATTTTTCTTCCTTAATTTTTCAATAATAATTAAGAAAAATGAGATTTATACAAGTACACATTTTCTTGAGTAGTAACACTACTACTAAGTAGTAGTGTTACTACTCAATCTGAGCAATTTAAATGTTCCCATCCTCATTTTATAATTTATCTTTTTTACACAAAAAATCCAATATTTCACATAACAAATAAAAGAATCAAAGTTTTCTGGCGAAAATATGGTCTCAATTATCATTGAAATTTACCTGAAAAAGTCAGGGAATTTTTTTTTTCTGGAATCGAGTGGGAACCCTGTACTTGGAGTTACCCAAGTCTATTTTATCATTGCCACTTGCTTGAACTATTTTAGTAATTGTTCAAGTAAATCATGGTAATTTAAAGCCTTACTTTACATAATTACTGTAAAGTATGTATAAACATACAATGCCAAATTGATCCAAACCAATTGTTTTTGCACAAGTATATTTTAAGGAAGTATTTTAATATGGAAATTTTTTTCCTTAAGTAGTCTCTATGTAGTATACCTTTATATATACATAGAGTATTACAGGTATTTTAGTGCCCTAGTTTACTTAAACAATTATTGTAATTAACTTACTATAACTACTTGATTTAATTATTTTTTTATTGATTTTTGCCTAACTTTGCAACAATAATGTAGAAAAACTTTGTCATTTATGCATACATATACATTTAAAAAAATATTTTAATGAGGAAAATGTTTTAAATAGTTACTTAAAAATTACATTTTATTAAGTATTAAAATTCTAATTTATTTTACTTCCCTAATTTGCTTGTACAGTTTCTACAATTGATTAGCTTTACGTGACTACTTTATTTAACCAAAAATTTCTTTTTCACTGTCTAATCCTTTGCTTTACAATAAATATTTTGCAAAAGTATGATCAATATGCACACTAAAAAATATTTAAATGTTATTAATGTTTTAAGTAGTAACTCTTAAGGGATTATTGCATGTCTATTTCAATATACCATTTACCAACTCCTTCATATAACTCTTTTTAGCAAAATTAGTGCCTTCATAAAAATTATAGTAATATCTGAAAGAAAATAATTCAGTTTGCAAATATTTATATTTCTTATTGGAATTTATTTTAGATGAAATTATTTTTTTGCAAAATTTAGATTATTCTGAAGTTATTCGGAAAATAATACGTTTATACAGACAATAAATTTTTTCACAAAAATAGGATCAGGATAGAAATTCTAAATTAATCCTTACCCTTATTACCAATTTTTTACAAATGGTTTCTACAGAAACCATTTGAGAAAGATTGGTAACAACTCCAGATTATTTTAAAAACCCTTTTAGAGCAATTTTTATATAAAAATATTTTTGTTAAAATTAGTAATCATAATATTATGTTCTTTATTAATAATCATAATATTATATTCCTCTTTTTAATAATTATTCTTCCAACTTGAAAAACTTTATAATTGACTTCTGTGGTGTTAATGTAGAAAAACTATTTAATTTTTAATTATTTTCAGACTTGAGTGGCCTGTAAGGACAATAAGCTTTAGTCATGATAGTTGTATGCTTGCATCAGCCTCTGAAGACCATTTAGTTGACATAGCTGATATTGCAACTGGTAATGTTGATTTTTAGCATTTGTTTCAGCTATTTCTATATGTAGCTGAAATTGCATAAAACAATTGAGATAAGTTTTTTTTTTCTTATTTAATTTCTAAATGTTTTTATTTTAAATATATTCCAATGGTAAGTAATTTTAACTATTTTTTTATGAATGTTATGTTTCTTTCTATAATCCTACTGCTTCGAAGTAATATTTAAAATATTTCTCTTTCCTTTTATATATATATATATCTTATATAGTTTATGTTCAAGTATAAATACCCAGTATCAACAATGCTTCTATTCTTTGTTGTATTTTATTAATATCAAAAATATGAATTTCTATTCTATTCATCAAAATTTATAATTTATTGTAACAACTAGTTTTGTGATGACACATCAGAGATAGAGTATCTATAAAATTTATATCTTGTGTAGCAATTTGGTTTGAAAAAAAACAAAACATAATATGCTGGTTTTTCTTTTTTTTTTTTTTTTTTTTTTTTTTTTTTTTTTNTTTTTTTTTTTTTTTTTTTTTTTTTTTTTTTTTTTGTTAAATTTTATCTTTGAAAACTTAGAGGGTTAATGTGAACTTTACTGAGATTGGCAAAAGTAAGTTTAAAAAATTTAGTTTAAACATTTATTTTAAATATTGAGTTATGTCTCCTTATTATCCCATATTGTTTATCATAAAACATTTTTGGGTAAGATTAAAACATGGAATGCACATTTTCCATAATTTTGTACAGATACCGCTCTTGCCAACTTTTACAATTTTTATGAACAAAACTTTTTAGTGGCACTTTTCAATTTTATGCTTTTTTTTATTGTTCTGGGTTTAAAAAAATTGATTTAAAATTATTTTACTCATCACAACGTAAAACTTTAGCAAACATATATAAGAACCCTGAAAGTTACGCCGTTTTATGCAAAAGCCTAACAAAATTCAAAATGCTGCTAATAATTTTAATGCTTTTGACTCTGCTTTTCTGCTACTTTTTTGAAAAATCTTTAGCCAAAAACTATAAAAGTTGGCAGCAATAAAAAAAATTGTAGCAAATTTTTCTGCAATAAGGGAATACAACCCTTTAATTTTAAAAAAGTTTTAATAAGGATTTATTTTTTTTATAAATTTAGCTAATTCTATGTTGATGTATACTTCTATCAGGGTTTGTGAAACCCAGGTTTTTTCGTGTTTTTCTGTGAGAAAACTCATTTTTGCCTAGGAATAAATGACTTTCATTAGGTTTTTTATAAAATGACCCAATTTTGTTCGAAGATAAGTGAGGTTTTCAAGTATATTCTACATGCATTCTTATATATACCATATATAAACATCTGATACATTACATGATTAATAAGTGTTGCTTAGTTATTATCAAAGGTATTGATTAAAAAAAATGGTTTTGTAAACAAGTCTTTTAGTCATTTTTATGCATTCTAAGTATATAATGAAGTGCATAGTGATAAAGCTATTGAACTGATCTCTTTTAAAAATGTAAGGTATGTGATTAGCTTATATTATAAATAAACACATAATCTGCTTTAAAGTTACTGAATGGAATTTATAAACATTGTAAACATTTATGAAATGTTTACAATGCTTATAAATTCTTAACTTATTAAAAACTTATCTTTTTCTTGCATATGGTATGTTCATTTATATTTTTCAATGTATGAATTCTTTATATGTCTCATAATATAGAGAAAAAAAATTATCAACTTTGATTTTTATTACGCATCTTGCTTTTGAAATGAATATAAAAAAGATTAAACATTTGTTTTCTAAGCAATCCAAGTATATAATTCAAGATTTTAATGAACATATCATGAACAACCAGTACACAATATGCATTCATCTTTCATTAATAAATAATTATATGTTTATTATATAATTTTAACAAAGTCTTATAAATATTAATTAAAGTAAATTTTTGGTACTTGTTAAAATGTGAAATATAAATTAAATTATAAGTGTCATAACAATTTCATGAAACTATATAACTTTATTAATACACAAACCAATTTTTCTTTTTATATAACTCTATTGTGATCTTATTTGAAAACAAATTAAGACTTAAATTAATAGTAAAATTAACTTTTTTAAATATGCATATATATTTATGAAGCCTTTTCAAAATTTTAAAACTGTTTTACCTGCTTGCAGGCTTCATAACTTCTTTGATTTTAATGCATTTAGATTACAAAATAGATAAAAATGGCTTTTGGAAAAAAATGATTTTTTTTTTGTTGAAATTTTAAAGTAATAATAAATGTTTTTTAAACTTGCTTTGTATTTTAAAGTTAAATTATTTTTGTATGAATTATGCTTTTATTATCTTTAGTAAAACTACAAGAAAAAATCGTTAAGTCTGGAAAAATTTAAAAAAAAAAAAGTATTTATGATTATCACCCTACACCACATGGGTTTTGTCTATACTTACGCACTTAATCGATCAAGGATAAAATATAATATATTAGGGTGTGTAGCATTTTTAAAAATTGCTTAAAAGTGCTTATTTTTTATTTTCGTTTTTAAAAGCTTTTAAAGGTTGCTTTTTTCATTGAATGTTTTTAAAAAGTGCTTAATTTTCCCGTTTTTTAAATTGTATATTTTGTTAAAGTTTATTTTCGCCACGAATTATGCTAAATGCTTGGTTTTAACATAGTTCTATTCAACGTTTTGTAGCATTTTGAAGTGTTAATCAATTTGTTAAATACGGTGAGATGATCTCGGGGTTTAATCATTACAAAACGCCTTTAACAAAATATTTTTAATAACAAACACAGTTGATGGTAATGATATAGTGGCACGGAGGAAACTGATTACAATTAATGATATGATTTCACATTACTGCACAGAGCGCCATCTGTTTAGCTTTAGAAATTATTATTATTTACATTAAGAAATATCATTAGCACAATTTACATGTTTGATGAAATACATGCTAGCCCGAATATTTGTATGCTGAGAGCTGGATTCGGTGAAAAGGAATCTAATTACGTATTTTCACATGGGTCCCCAGAGTATTCAAGAATCACAAAGCTTCATCATCTCAAAATTTCCATCTCCCTTTTATTCATTTAATTTAATTACAATAATAATTGATTGAAATTTTTATCTGATTGATCGTTTAATAATTGTAAAAATGCTTTTAAACTTCATTACTTTTTTTTACTTATTACTTTTTATTATTGTAATACTTTTAAAGTTTTCAGTGCTTTTAATTTGTTTTATGAAAAAGCTCAATAACAAAGGCAAGATTTTAAAAAACAAAAAGTATGAAGTGAGGGGTTTTCACAATTTTAAATGCATCAAAAAATTTATGTTATTCATATTTGTAATTCCAGAAAGCTTTAATTCATCTCTTAAAGATTTGTTAAATATTGTGAGTGTAAGGGCTATTATAATAATTTACTTCCGACAAAAATGTTAAGTTGCAATACTCAATGTATTTACATTTCAAAATAATGTCAATTTTTTTTTAATCATTTCATTAAAAAAATACTGAATTAAATGACAAATTTTGATAAACATTTATAAGGAACTATTCACTAATTTACATTTGTAATATAAATTTATTAAAGTTTCTCTTAGTTTGCTTAATTCTTTACTTATCTTTATAAATTCAGTATAATCAATGATATTAATCAATAATATAATTTGTTAAATATGCTTTTTAAATAACTTTCATTTAAGTGTAAAAAAATACTCTTAACCTTTTTAAATAACAATTAAATTAATTATAATTTTAAATTAAATTTTTTGCATAAATAAATAAAGTAATTAATTTAAAGTGTAGAATGAGCCACACAGTATTGAATATATTTAAAATTGTTTTTATGGTGTTAAATATAATCAAGTAAAGAGTTCTTTGTCATAAACTAGTTATTTTATCATGATCACGTAAAGTTTGAAAATTATTTTGCAATTTGTTAATGTATATATGAAGAATTTATAACAAAGGGAAGAAATTTTTTTATTAGACTACATCTTCTAATTATATTTTTTTAAGTGTTAAAAAATATTTGAGTGCTTAAAAGGTGCTTATTTTTCATTAAAAAATTTGATTATGCACCCTGTTAGAGAATGTGCTTTAAATTCTCATTGAAACTTGGTTGTGATCAAAAGAGCTGTAAACCAGCAAACATTACTTGTGTTATCTTTTAAATATTTCGAAGAAGAAAAAACAGAGATGTTAACAGTTTAATTAATAGCAATTCATAATGCAGATTTTTGAAAGATATTTAAGATTGATCTTCGTACTCTCGTCCAAACTTCAGGACACCAGTTCAAATGGTTGTGGAATTACAAGAGAGACAGACGCAGAAATTTTCTTTTTTTAAAAAAAATGAAAAAAAAAGATATTACAGATGCTGTTATTACGAAATTTATAACAATTGTAATGATTTTATAAAATAAGTGTATTGCAAAAAGAGGTAGTCTTTGTCTCAACTAAATTTTTTTAAAAATTGTCCCTCTTCAGTAGTGTACTGATTTTTAGTTTGAAATATTTGGTGATTTCTTCAAAGGTTATCTTCTTTTTACATGCCAGTTACAGCCATGCATGTAAATATTTCATCAGAAGTACCATTAAATAATAATTAAGCACCATAAAAGTTTTTACAAAAATTACCAAGATGTCATATGAAGAGAATAAATTACACCGAAGTAAAGAAAAAAGTTGATTATTTTGGATTTAACCTAAATACTTTTGAATTTACTTATATAAGTAAAGATTCATTAAACAAAATTAGTTTGTTCTTTTTGTTCCCTTCCTCATGCTTTTATTTTTTTTAAAAAAAGTTTGATTCGATATCTATGCATAAGGAAATAAATATTGAAGTTTCTAACATATTTTTAAAGCAATATGTCGAAGAGCTTGCACTCGTTGATTTTTTTTAATATGCAATAAAGAAAAATATGTTAAGCATGTAGATTTTTTTAGCCCTGTTTATTTCCTTATATACCATAGATATTTTGAAATTATTGTTTCTATTTGCTATTAATCTATTTCTGAATATTTTTCTTTATTTAAAATGTAACTGAAAATTTTTGTCACTCACATATGAAGATTTTTCTCTGTTTTCCAGGGGAGCGTATTGCTGAGGTTCCGTGTGAATCACCCACATTCACTGTTGCTTGGCACCCAAAAAAATATCTGCTCGCTTTTGCATGTGATGATAAGGATAAGCACATGAGGGAAAGAGATGCCGGAACTGTCAAATTATTTGGCTTGTCATCTGACATGTAATTATGTATAGTTGTAAAAAATCATATTGTTGAAATTCATATTCATAGTCTTTTTTTTATCACAGATCTTATTCTTATAACTTTATTTAATATCAAATAAAGATTTGTATATGCCTAGCTGTCTCTCAAGTTCTTAGTTTTAGAATATTATTTTTCCTAACTAAATCAATTTTTTAATCTTCTTCAATGAAGTATGCTAGTTGGATCATATGCCAATAATTTTTTTACTTTTTTTTCCTCCCCAATTTGGGTATTTTCTGTCATGAAAGGCTAAGGTGGGTTTGTGTTCATAATTATTTTATGATGAAACTAACTAAAAACTAAATTATTATTTTATTTAATCCCTTTCTCAATAAATATAAATCATTTATCTAATCAGTAATTTTATATTTAGGAATTCCCTTCCCAGCTGCGCTATTGAATGATAGTGCAATAGTTAAAAAAAAAATTTTAATTTATTTAAAAAAATTTTATTATTTTCTCATGACTTATTTACCACCTTTTCATAACTTCTATAACTTTTTCAACATTTTAAATGCGAATGCCAAGATATGGTTAAAATCTTATAAACAAAAACCTTAACAATAATTTGCAACTACAGTTCATAATTTTATCTACAGTTCCACAGGGTACATAGTTGTCCTGATTTTCCTCATAAAAAATATTCTGTTCTTATTACTCCTTATTTTTTGTTTGCTTTTTCAGAACATGCCATTTCGATGAACACACAATTTTAAAATAATCATTCAGTTTTTTAAAAGATAATTTCACTAGAAAAAAATACTATAACTTATCATTGTCAAAATTAGTAAGTACATTTTTATTCAAAAAGTTAAATCCGAAACGTGTTTCAAATGAGAAAGAGTTAGCGTGAATAATGGAATTCCTTCTTTATTGTCACTTTTTCCTCAAAGTAACAAATTATTGCGGAATCAGTATCAGAAAGAAAAAAAAGATTTAAGTAACCCTACCCGTTTTACAGAAGTGATTTTTATTTTGTTATTTTACACCTCTCATAAGTCTATCTAACTATGCACTTGTGGAACTCCAAAATATGCCTGATATAAAAGTTAAACACTGCTTTTTGTATTCTGATGTGGATCTTATTTTAGAAAATATTGTAAGTTTATTGTCTCTTACTATAATTTGTTTTTCCGAGTTAGAGCAGATATTATAGCAGAGCAGATAATCTTAATTATTCACATCGAGTTAAAATTTTTAAAAGAATGACTAAAGCTTAATGGAAGTTTGAAAAATACTTCCTGGGATGCATAAAAAGGAAAACTGGGAAAAACCTACCTCTAAGGCACCAGTTTCTGTCTTCACCATCATTTGTTAGTCAAGAGTCTAAATAAATGTTTGATTTATACGAATACTTTGATGACTGGATTTCTGATTTCTTTTTTTTTTTCAAACCCATCGGTGCAGAGGTTAAATTGGTACGAAAAAGAAAAGAAACATTTGTGGGGAAGAGGAATTTATAACATTAATGCATCATTTCAACTTGTGGAGTCTCGTAACCTGTGTCATCTAGATGAAAAGTTCAAAAGATGCTGTTGTCCGAAATATTTCATAAAAGCAATATTTATTTTCTCTCTTTGCAATGATAAAGGAAGGTAACAGGTGAAGGATTGATTCTTTAGTAGTGATATAGCTTAATACTTTAATTTATTGAAAAGGTACAAAATTTATATGCTTTAAAAAAATGGTAAAGTCAAAATAGTTTTTTTTTTTTCTTCTGTAACTGGTGTTGAAAAAAGTGCTGTTCAGTTTGAAGAAATTGAAATCAACGCTTTGGGGTCTTACTAATGGTTCGGTTATGGAAGTATCCACGTTCTGGAGAAGGTACTTAATGGTTTATTCATAGAATATTCATGCGTTATTAAAACATTTCCGTAATGAGAGGCATCTGTTTTATGAGAATGTTCATAACGAGAGGTTTTGCTCTATATTAGTGAGTTATTAAAATTTCTCTTTTTTTTTTTTTNTTTTTTTTTTTTTTTTTTTTTTTTTTTTTTTTTTTTTTGCAAAATTTTGTTTTGGTCTATTAGTTTTATAAAATCTCTTTGCCTTGGGAATTTCTATTTTTTTTAAGTTGTAATATTTAGCATATTTTCGTCCAAAAAGTAAGTTTCATTGTTTATAGAATAAAACAGGTTATCTTTCTTATAAAATATTATGATCCGTAAAGGAATATTAAAAAAATATAGTACAGAATTTTATTCATAGTTACTGTTAAAGTCATGGAATTTCATTTTCGAAACAGCGAGCAATCGTCTTGAAAATATTTTTCAACTAAATGCGGGAACCATCGGGGAGGACTTTTTGACGGAACTAAATCGCATTTGCGTTCCATGGGGAGGAAAACCTCCCACGGTTAGCCAGACTGCAAGGATACTCTAACCCTATGATCCGTCTACCACTGAGGATATTTTACGTCAACACTGGGGTCAGGGCAAGCCGGGTGCCGAATTCGAATCGACCAATCATCGCTGGGACTCGAACCAGGTTAACCTCATTAGAAGGCGAGCTCTCCATCTCCTGAGCCACCACGACTTCTGCATAATTATTTTATTTTATAACCGTCGTTGAACAGCCGATCCAATTTTGGATTTACGACTACTGATTTTCAACTCCGTAGCCATGTAATTTTGAACCAAACCAAAAGACAAGGAAACTCCTGGATCAGGGCCCCCAGAGGTATGTTTTGTTATGGGAACATGGAGGACTTTGTGACCAGACAGATTTAGCATGCATTAGTCGCCATTTACTACACGGGGAGTCTTCGGCCGGAGGGATCGAACCCACGACCTCTTGGACATGGGCCCAGTGCCCTACCAACCAGGCTATCCCGGCCCTTCATACTTAATTATTTTATTTTAAATCCGTCGTTGAACAGCCGACCCAATTTTGGGTTTACGACTACTGATCCCGGCCTTCAAACTTAATTTTATGCATGCACATTTTGTTAATATGTTAGATGTAACGAAATAGTCAGATATATTTTGCCGATAGAAAGATCTGCCCTGGCCGCGAAGTCTAAGGCTGCCTGCTGCTATGGAGACAAGAAATGGCGCATTTCAAAGAGGGAAGCTTCTTTCCCTTTCTCTCGCTGACTCGAGCCAGCACATGTCTTAAATAATGACCCAACACCTCTACCTAAATAGTTAAACCTCGTAACCATAGTCACCGCCACTGTGCCAGACGAATGGCTAGGGGAGTTCTTTACATGGAAAAACTATACTTAAAATTGTAAAGTGACCAACTGTACTTGAAAAAAAATATTTAAACTTAGGAATACAGAATGTGCGTCACATTAACATATAATAAATTAGAAGAAATTTTACTAGTTACCAATTTACAACGATAACCTAATGCATCATATAACAGTTCAAATTAATTTCTATCAGTTTTTTTCTCATTTGATCCTTTTATGCTTTTAAATATTTCGATATAAATGTTGAGATTTATGTCTGGCAACATTCAATCTCTCTTTTTACTTTTTTTTTTATAATATTTTTTTTTACTTATGACACCAAGTACAGCGAGAACCTAGAAGATCTCAAGGAGATAACTTTTTCTTCAAGAAAGGAAAAATAGCTTTAATAAGTTAATAAATAGATTTTCATTTAAGTTAAAATAAGAAAATTGCGAAAAAAAGCATTTAAAATTGCAATAACTTTTGTAAACATAAAAATTAAAAAAAAAAAAAACAACTCGCGTTAAGATCATAAATGAAAATTTCCCTTTCAGTGCCATCCAATTTCAATTCAGTAGTGCCGATCAGGTGGCCGAGTGGTTAGCGTGTCTGACTGCGGAGCCGATGGTTGCGGGTACGAATCCCGCTCATGGCACGGATGTTTCTCTCTCTCTCTCTCTCTCTCTCTCTCTGTCTGTGTTCTATGTCCTTTCTCCTTTGTGTGTGTAAATGTGACCCGCCCTATAAACGGGTTTGTGATTGTGTGACGTGGGCGACGCTGCTCCACGGCCGTGGCTTCACCACTGGTGCCCACTGGGTAACGAGAAGAGAGTAGCAGTCCTGGCATATGAGGCCATTAAGAAAAAAAAATTCTGTGGTTACATTTCTGTGACTTCAAGTGCGGCCTACATAGTATTTTTTTACAACAAGTTTAACAGTTAACAATTCTGGGACTACTTATCGAATGTTGTTTTTTTAATATATATTATTTTATCTTACTAATTGTACATTTTTCTACCCGCCTTTATAATTTCATGTTTCTAAGTCAGTTTTTGGGTACCGAAACAATATGTAATGCTAAGTAGCACACTTTCCACTTATTGCACACATTCTCTAAAAGATAATTTAATAACAAATCGATGAAATGATCCTTTCATGTAAAATAAAATTTCTTTAGAACTTCAAAACACAATACAATTAAGAGGGAAGTTTATCAATGAAGACAAAGCATATTATATCTAAGTTTTTCTTACTTTAAAGTGAATGGGTGGCTTATCAATGGAAGGCTCTGTCTTATCTATGCACGTTGACGGAAGAACTTTTTTGTATCGCGATTGCATTGTGATCTACTTAAAATTATAAATACGTTATTTGATATTTATTCTTAAAGCTCTTTATTAAACCCACTGAAAATTTACTCTAAAATGCGTGTAATATGTAAGTATTCAATTTTTTTTAATAAATAAATAAAAGTTTTATTAATTAAACTGNAATGTGTCTGAGCTGCATTCAAGTATGTCAAACTTAAATAGACTAAAAAAAGGAGTAAATATAATACTATTTTGGACGGAGAACGTTGTGGCACATCACTTTTGAAAGACGTGGGAGGAGGATTTTCAGTCTTAGTAAAAATAATTAAAGAAGTGATGAACCTAAAGATTTTCTTTTTAATGTCTCACATAAATAGAATATTTACTTTTTAAGTCTACTTAAAAAAGTTGTTCATAAAGTTAATTTTATTGTCTTTAGTTTGTGTTGGTTAGTTTGTTTATATCGAAGTTTTCTTTGCTATAAATTCTGCTTGCACCATTTAGTACATGTCATTTAGTAAAAGCAGATAAAAAATAGTCAAAATTCAAACATCAAAATGAAGAAAGTTCTATTTAGTTTTGATTGAGAAAAGTTATGTTTTTAGTAAATAGTAAAAAATTATATGTCAGTTTAGAAGAGAGTTTGAGACGTATTTATTTATGAATTTTTCTTTTTCTTTTTTGAAGCTTTGTTATGACTACTATTCTTAGACACGCGGTATCGAACACCGTCCTAGTCGCTGTACACATTTTTGTAGTACTTACTTGAGCCGTGGTGGCTCAGGGGATAGAGCATTCGCTCCCTAATGAGATGACCCAGGTTTCAATCCCAGCGGTGCCTAGTTGATATGAATTCTAGTCCCGACCACAGTGCCCACGTAAAATGTTCTCAGTGCTAGAGGGATCGTGGGTTAGAATACCTTTTCCGTCGAGCTATCCGTGGAAGGTTTTCGTGGTTTTTCCATCCTTGTAACGCAAATGCGGATTAGGCCCATCTAAAAATCCTCCAAGTTTGAAATAATGCTTGATCCTGAAGTTTCCTTGCCTTCTGGGCTCAAAATTAGAAGGTTACGGAGTTGAACATTGTCGTAAACTCAGAATCTTGTCGGCTATTCAACGCTGGTAATAAAATAAAATATAGTACACACTTATGAGGAGATTAAAGGATTCATTGATGCTTGGAAACAAATAAATTTACACTTGTTTAATAAATTTCTGGTTTTAACAATTGTGGCATAAAAAATTTTAATAATATGCAATACTACTTAATTTAAATGGAACACGCATTTATATTTTGTTGCTGACGAGGTGACTGAGTAGTTAAATGGATGGCAGCTAATCTATCTAAGGCTTTGCCCGCGTGGATTCTAATCCTATCCTCTTAGCAGTAAATGTTCTTACAGTACTTTCTAGAGCCATGGTTGCTCAGGAAATGGTTGCAATTTCCAGCATAAAAGAATTGAACGCTAGCTTATGTAAAAAGTTATTCACAAGCAAAAGAAAATAATTGAATAAATAAGTAAATGAAAGATAATTTGTATGACCCAGTTATTTTTGTGCGTGATTGCAATAGCATTAAAGATTGAGAGAATTCCTTCTCCTTTATATAAGAAGGCGGTGGCTCATTAATTGTGCAAGAAGACTTTAAACTTAACCTAGCCGCTTTCCCCTTCTAACGATTACCAAAAAATGCTAGAAATCCATTTCATACCATTTGCAAAGAGAATTGATGGCAAGAGGTTGGCTTTCTGGCAGGACCATGCCTCTATTTATGTTTCAAAATCTTTACATTTTGTGCTTTAGGATTACAGAGTGCGTGTTATTTAAATGACGTACCCCTTTTCCCGACTTCAATTCCAACGAAAACATAGGGAGCTATCTTTAGTTGGGCTGAATATGCCAAAAAGAAGCTGTTGCAGTTTGAGGCAGAATAAAGGTAGCCGTTACTGAAACCAGGCGTAATATTGATGTTAATGTTCTTCAGGGTTTAGTAAAGGGTACGCAAAATCATAAATTTCAAGTCATATCTTTCATGACGGATATATTAGCAATTATAGTGCATCTTCTGAAACATACAAAGTGTAACCCAAACAAGCATCCCGCCATAAAGCGAGTGTTTTCTTTTATAAGACCTTAAAAAAACTATAAACAGAATCTATTAGAAACAAATCTGGTGACAGTGATGACCAGGGAATTTAATCTCGTGTTGTCATAGACAATTCCTCTAGCACCTTTTTGAGAAACCTAACATTTCTATTAAAATGTATTTTTACTATCATAATAATCATTCTTGGCTTTGATGCCTTTTATTGTTTTCAATGGTCGAAGATTTGAGTTATTAAATGGTTGTCTCACGTCGAGAGTTTTAAGATTCCTTGGCTACATAATCCTCTCTCTGATATTAGTGCCCCTATTATTCAATCCAGAAGACATATGCGATCAATTTTAAAATACTACGTTCAACTTATTACCCATTGGAAAAATGGGTTTTGTTTTGGATTTGATGGCGTCCTCACACTTTTCAGCTACAATAATCAAGAGTAATAGTAAACAGTGCGCATGCGTCGTCATTGCATGCGTTGCCATGGCGACCGCTGCTGTTTGATAATTTTTTTAGAATTCTTTTTTTTTCACTTTTAATTTTGATATGCATTAAGTTGGTGAATTTATTTTTGAGATATGGGACCAGAGGGATACCATAAATACTTCTTGAGTTGTGAATAAAAGGGAATTTCATCATTTGAACGATACTTTTGTTTTAATTGAGAATCAGAAATTCTAAAATACAGTTCAAACTGGATCGTTTTCAGTACTAATTCAGGTGAATATCACAAATAAAGAGGCTCCAAACTGATTCACACGGTCCCATGGCCTAAACTTACAGAGGCTGAGAAATCCAAAGAACATAGACGGGAATATCTTAAGCGTTACACTCAAACAGAAAAACAAAAGGATTCCGTTCGCAAAAGCAAGTCTGAAGCTCATCCCTCACAAAAGTACCAAAGTGGTTGAGAGAACTTAACTCTACCGAAGAGCGAATGACGGCTCTCCGAACTCCTTTCATGCAAATACGAGAACTGGGGGTTGATCACTAGTTAGGGATAAAAGGATCCATTGTCAGCGTACCCAATGACTTGCACAAGATAGTAGACTGTCTTCCACACAATATAAATGATTCATTCACTGTTCTTGTAAAATTGAAGGAAAAAAAAGCTTAGCTTTCAAATCATATTTCATATATGAACTTGTGAATCCGAAACGGGTGTACGATGCAGCTTACAATCTCATTCAAACATCAGTGTACCAATCCGAAAATGGTAATATTGATCTCGATTGGCTGTTCAATGCCTATTAAGTCATCAAAAGAATTAGCACAGAATGTGTCTGAGCCGAGCTGCATTCAAATATGTTTGCAAAATTGTGTACCTAGCAGTTCTGGATTAACAGTTAAAGATGTCCAAGATGAAAACACAATAAAGTTGCTTTTTCAACAAAAAAAATTGCGCAACAACCATTTTGCCTTTTTTTACAAACTGGGAAAATACAGTGAATTTTGTTTCTTATTTTCGGAAATGGTGACTACTGAAAGCGCTATCTATGGAATATTTAAGGATGATATTTCAGATATACTATAGTATTTCATTCACTTTAGCATTATT